CCTCCTTTACATCATGCCAAAAGACAGCAAATTCAGATACCCACATCTACTAACATACCAAAATTCATTACATTTTTTCTGTTATTTTAGCCGTTGAAATCCAGTATGAATTGTACAATCCAACTATACAATGTGTTGAAGTCTTATTACTGGAGAAGCGTTTAGACCGAAATCTTTTATATTTACGTGATGCTCCATTGGAAGAAAGTAGATTTCCGTTTGATATGACTCGCGTCCCATATAATCCTAATGATCCTGTTCCCATTAATGATAAAAAGGTATGTTCAGATGGTAGAAGTACCCAGAAGAGTGTTAATACTGATGTAAAATGTACAACAAAACCCATCAACGGTCTCATAATCCTTATTCTTTTGTATTTGATAAGTTCTATCTAGCTACTTCATTTTGTAGTATATTTTTTTACATGAGGACTGGTTGTTACTTAAAAGACTATAAGACGACCTACCATCAGAGGTTGCTATAATCTGTGCAGTTTGTTAAATCTTGTCTTCCTTATGAGCGATTACGGTTTTGTAGGTAGGACGGGGGTACGGCCCATCAGTTGATGAGTTCCTGGTTCGAATCCGACTATACCTACTCCAGCTGGGGAGTTAGGTATTATTATCACCGCTCACACAAGTGTGACTTAACGCGGCACGTGAAATGTGTCTTGAGAACTAAGCTCAAACAGAGAAACTGAGTTTTTCAAGTAATAGTTACTTCCCCCAATTGTACAAGACGTAACGTTTCTCCCTAGTTAACAGTCACACTAAGAGAGCTTTCTACGAAATAATTACTTTTGAACATCCTGAATGATACTGTAAGTATATCTGAAGTACGTTTCGTATGTGCCGAATTCAGAACACATCTTGTGGAATAGTGCTTAGCCTTGGAGTCTGGTAATTGAACCTACGATTTATTGATTAAGTTCTGGTTTAAACAAATCTTATTACGAATACAAGAGACTCATTTGATACATGCCAGCATTTGTCTTTTAGCTCAGTTAACATACTTTGACTGTATTAGCTGTTTTGTCTATTTTAGTATATGCTCAGAGGTTTAGCAGCTTGCGAGAGTACAATTTTACTGAACAGCTTTGAGATAAGTTAGTTAGGGTCTCGCAGAATGGCAAAATACAGATACATTTGATCACCTTTTTGTAAAACACTGTTGAATTGTTGTATTTCTCACTTCTCTTTTGAGTGATTAATCTTTATAAGGCCCAACTATTTCGTGTTTATTATAGGTAAAATTGCTTCCACCACCTTGGAAATTCAAATGGTTCCTGCATGGTTACCGCGGAATACACGACAGCATGTATGACTACTTAACACCTGAACAGTTGTCCGAATTACAATACAAACTAAATCTTGTTGACCGATATGATCTTATGAAGATGTATAGGTAACTTTCTGCATACCGTGACTTTTTTAACATGATATATATGCTAGAATAAGAATAAGAAGTGAGATGGTTGGATAAGTTGGTCAATTCACTCATTCGGTAATTCTTACATACCCTAATGTACTGATTGCTGACAAAATCTCAGCACATTTTCTAACTTTATCTCCGGTGTAGACTAGATCTCAGGCTATCTATCGAATGACGTACGTACTGTACAGTAGTCTCCCCTGTCTTTCGTTGTGGATACGATACAAGACGATCACAAGTGAAAAATATGTACTACACTGTTTTTTTACCATGGGTGCCTGCGTTCAACTTGCATTTTACGTATGCTGAATCACCTTTTTCTAGGATGATGAACGTTGGCTGACATTATAGGTTTTGGTTAGAAGGAGAATTTATGATGATCATCTATCCATGAAGTTATTGGCTGATGTTTTGAGCCACTCAAGAAAGTGTAGTTCGAAATCCTCAAGATACTAAGAACCATAGTCATAATGGTTCAAAATCTCCTGTAGTGTCACATATGTACATACTAAATCATGGTCTTCCAAATCCACTAAACCCTTATTTCTCATGTAATTATTTCTATCTTTGGTACATATCTGTTCATTGTAGCTTCATTGCTTTTGTTTGCTTTACTTTTTATCTAATTTTGGGAATTGTGATAACTTGAAAAGCTGCACTTTTTGTACGAAGTTCTGTGTTGACAATTCACTTCAGTCCAGGATAAGAATATTTGGCTTTTCATTGATGGTAAACTGTTAGTACTGATTGGGACATTTTTTTTACTGGAAATCATTTTTAAGATTCATACCTGTGATTCTTTGGACATTTGTTACAGTCCAGTTATTCATGCAGAAATTGTGCTTGTTAGAAGTCAACTAAATGCTCTGATATGTTTTTGTAGGTGAAAAGGTTGCATCACCACTGGATTGATATTGGAAATACCTATGGTTATTATCATTCATCACTGGTTGAAATAATAACATCTTCATACATTGTGGTAATTGGTGCTATAAAATGTAATGATAGCCTAATTGAAAGACACCTAAAATGCCTATAGTTTAAAACAAATAATCATTTGAACGAAAGTCTTCGCTCTCATACAGATAAGTGTGTTCTCTCTAACAAATTTCTTAGGATACTATTCAAGTGTGGATCATAGAACGACGATTATTCCTTCTGTTACTTCGTTTTAGCTGCAGAATATTTTCATAAAATTTTTCATCAAAACACCTATAGGTATGAGTTTTCCGAACCTACGTAATTATGATGTATTTGCAATTTCGCCTGTGGGACTTGTAGTAGACATTTAAAAAGGTGACTGTTTTTCGCGTTATCTAATAGTTTCTGTGAATTACCATCCATTTTAAATCATTCTTTGTCTCTGGAACACTAGTTAAAATGATTAATAAATAACCATTTACTGAGATATGTAATGTATGTCAATTTACTATTAAGTTTTCTCGTATTTCACAGGTCACGACTGCCTCTGGAAGAAGAACAAATAGCCCTAGGTGATGTGCAAATTCAGCATCAAGATCTTATACGTTACCACGAACAACGTCGACAGGAATTGATTGAGAAGCATAAGGAAAGCAAGAAGACTGATAAAGTCGCTGCGCGTGGCGGTCATTAGTCTTTTATATCATTCAATCATCTTCAACTAACTTACCTACTTCTATCTCTGTAAATAAGCACATTAAGATTACAATTAACTGTATTATATTCACTGTATTTTAATTTGTTTTGAAAGTTGGATATCACATAATTGGCGTTGTAATTCACTAACCTAAGTATTGTACTTTCAGTCAGTATGCTGTGGATTTAAATCTCTCAGTCCACAATAGTGTAGGCAGCATTAGTTCTTACATTAAAAGCCAACGTATTATTATTATTTCCTTTAATTCCTGGAGGAACATAGGCCCTCAGCCACACATCTCCATTGCGTTCGGTTCTCTGCTAGAGTTTTCAACTGGCTCCAAGTCTGCCCATATGTTTTCATCTCTTCTTCACATGACTTCATCCAAGTCACTCTTGGACGGCCAACTCGCCGCTTCCCTTTCGGGTTCCACTCAAGGACTTGTCTAGTGATGTCACTTGGTGATTTCCTCAGAGTGTGGCCAATCCATCTCCATTTCTTCCTGCCTATTTGTTTCACAATCGATTCCTGGTTGGTTCGCTCATTGCCAGAGATCCCTGCTGCTGATCTTTTCTGGCCATCTGATCTTGAGTATTGAGCGAAGACAACTGTTAATGAAGGTCTGTAGTTTGTTTGAGATGCTCTTTATGACGCGCTGGCCAAGTCTCTGATCCGTATAGTAGCACTAGCTGACTTCACACTGGAGTTGAAAATCCGGATCCTATTTTTGATTCCGAGTGCTGTTGACTTCCACACCGAGTAATGAAAGCTTGTATTGCTTTTCCGATGTTCCTGGCTTTGATATCCTCGTCAGTTGCGTCCGCCTGTAGTTGAAACGATGCCTCCCAGGTAGGTAAGTGAAGGAGGTTGTTTCTTCCAGGTTCCTCTCATTTATCCAGGCTGATTGTTGTCTGTTGTTGTTGCTGTTGGTGTTGGCCAGGAATCTTCATCACCTCTGTTTTCTCTAATGTCTGAGATGTGTAATCAGTTTACAGCGCTGCATTATACAGTGATTTACATTCTGAGTATTTGAAGAGTCTATTGGTTTCTTGTTTTATTTTTTAGGAAAGCATTTAATTTACGTGCACAATTGACAATATTCAAATTGATATGATTGCGAGCAATAAGTTGCACTCTAAACGTCATTAAGTTATCAAATACTCTGCCTCTATGTTTTATCATATAAACTTACTAATATGAAATTGCATTCTACTGTTAAGGAAATGTAGACAACCTAATTGTCTTCAAATGCTGATCAAAAAACAGATACTTTTGTATTACATTGTTAATGTGAGAAAACTTGCGTTTAACATCTTCGAATCGCATAAAATCCGAACTTCACAAGGAAACAAAACAATTTCTTAACCGTTTGATTTTCTGGACATGTTTCAACAAATGTAGGATCTCGTATTTTGTGAATAATGAGGTGGATTCCGCAGGCTACTCAAATTTGTCGAGAGCTATGTTTCTGCCTTTAAGCTGTGCTCTATGTCAGTGTCAGTCACAGTAAGAATTGATATTTGGATACCGGCACGATGAAAAATTTATTCTTTTCTTGCTATTAGACCTATGTTATTTACGGTCTGACCCATATACTTTCATCTCTTTACATGGTCTCCATGTCACTCTCGTGCATAATGTCACTTTACCGTCTTCTCAGAGTATGTTCAATCAATCTCCATTTCCTTCGGTATATATGTTGAGTGATAGGTTGTTGGTTGTTTTGTTTGAGAGTTTCTAGTCGCTAGATCTTCGATATGCAGAGAAGGTTCGGAGCAGGCTGTTGAAATTTTTTTTCGTGACACGCTAGCTCATTCTTCTTGATTTTAGATGAAGCAGTTTTATTTACAAGATGTCTATAAAATGTATTAGTTGAATTAGTGAGTGGTATTGATTTATTTTTAATATTTTATAAATCAATTATTTATTACTGAGTTGGTGTGTAATACTCCATTGGACGCTGAGAAGAATGCCTTTTGGAATAGTACTAACAAGATTATAATGGAAATATCGATAACTTCAGAAAATAATCATGCTTATGCAACTAAGATTACAAGAAGGGATGTATTCTACCCAGATATACCATCTGTTGTGTTAAAGACTTCATTGCCAGCAACATTATCTTACGAACAAACAGTTTGGAGTGACTTACCTAATGTACCGACACTACTAATTGAGTTGTTAAGTGAAATTGATAAATGCATACCACCATTAAAGTATATAGGTTATGGTATTGGTGACTGCACATTGAAACACTGTGATAAAATATTAAATGTGTTATTAACCGCCAGATATGAAAGTGATTTACGTAAAAGTATAATTCATCAGTGTCATCGGTCATTACTAGCACAAATCATAGTCTTATTTTTATTAAGAATGGAAGATCCACCGTTTATTGCGACATCAACATTGTGTTCTGCTTTGTTAGAGAAAAAAATTTCAATTAATCTTCAAACACCAAAATGTGATCAGTATGATGCTAATATTGAAATGATTATTCAGGATTGTTTAACCCCTTTAAGTATATATCAGAAAGCCACTATATCGTATTTCATTGAAAACTGCCAACGATGGTGTCAGTCTGAGATAGCCTATCAAATTAAACAGAATTCTAAGTTTGAACAGAATGAAGTCTATCCGAAATTGTTGGAATTTTTAGCTCATTTTTTTTCAAAATCACTAATTGGTTTACCGAAATCGTATATTTCATCATTATTGTTAGCACACAGTAATGCTGATTTGGATAATATTCGAGAGGAAATATTTATCGTTCTTACTGGAATGATTAGTTCATATTTTTGGCACAGGAACTCAATAGAATGTTTATGCATAATTGAAAGAAATACATTTAATAAATTACCCACTCTAATAGGATCTGATTCAGAAAATGATGATCTATACAACGGAGGCTTTTTATCTGACTAATTGATAACATTCATCTACACCTGTTCGCATGGAGTTCTTGCTTTCTTCTATTTGACAAGGTGACGCTAGGCTTTTTCTATGTAAATTATTACATGTTCAAGAGTTGGTTGATGATAAATCTTGTGGACGTACAATACTTCAGGATGTTTTATACAGACTTCTGAATTTTAATGAAGATTAGAATTATAATCCGTTAACATTGTAAGCTGCTTAACGCCAAATAACTTAATGTTATTTGTAATAATTACTGCTCTAAGAAATTCTTAGTGGTGTAACATATAATAATAATTAGTAAAACATTTCAAGCTCACTTATCATTTGCCAGTGAATGCGAGACTATGAATGGTTGGTTAAGATATCATATTGCTTTGCACTGATTGCATGAGTTCCTAATTCTGTTGTCTTCAGTAGTTTAGATCCAGTGCTTTTCAGTATCCAAAAATGATTGAAAAGTTCTTTTCTTAATCAACCAGAAGTTATTGTTCTCAGAAATTTTGAGTCTGTTTTCAGGGTGATACTGAATCACTAACATTTGATCAATTGAAAATATCTTCATTCGATTGTTAAGCCCAGAATTATAAAGCTGAACTCTTCAGTGGTGTATCGCTGAAAAAAAAGAGTTTTATTCTAAAGTCTCTTGTCGAATGACAACATTGGTTTAACACTGAGAAGCAGCTTCTCACAGTTTTGAGCTAATGAGCAAAGTTGTATTCAGGAAACCTGTTGTCCACTCATCATTATCCATTAAAATCAAAAGAATATTTACTGCATTATGTTCTCTCCACTTAGAATGAGAAAGGATAGGTGGAAAGATGACACGGATCAATGTAGCTAAGCTCTTCAGTTTAAAGGAAGCTTAATGACCTACTTAAAATTTCATAAATAGACCTTTATGCACTGCATGGAACTTACATCAATAGTGCATACATTATCATGTGAAGATTTAAAGCTGTATGAATTATTTCTGAGCAAGTTCTTAAATGAAGGATCTAACAGTTCTACCTAGTTGGTAGCTTTCTTTAAGGTAGTGAAAATAGATATTGAGATGCCTGGTCAAATAATTTAGATGAGATTGTTAACTACTTGTAAGCAATAGGTAGCTTAGATAGCTTAACTAAATTTCTCAAAATTAGCATACAAAGTATAAATTATTTCTGTGTAGATCTCAACAATATTGAAGTGACATCTGTGTAGAACCTAGATGCCATTATAGTATGTAATTCCATACTGAATTATCTGTTGGGTATACCATACAACTAAACAGCATTACTAGCTGAATGTCGCTTACAATGCAATTTATTGTTCGTAATCATGATAACATAATTTGGAAATTTGATCATTATTATTTTTTAAAAATATTATGATTTTCCAATAAATGAGAAACAAAATTTTATTGATTCTGAAGATGTTCGGCTATTTTATGCTGGTAGCTTCATCAAAGTATTGACAAACCAGACTTTACGAAATCTAATAATATTCAGTCGCTTAATCATATTTTTTCAGCATTAGGGAATCATACTTCGTCAGTTTGATGAATTCGTAAAGATAACAAACCATGTGCAGATTGTTGACTTTAATCAGTGCGTGAATTATAAAATGGCATGTGTTTCTGTTATACAAATTCTTATCATATTGACTCTGTCGATTCATGTTTGTAGGGTAAGTGTTGGATCAAGGTCTAATCTTTTCTTAATCCTCATTACTATTGAGGTCATTTGCATTCGACTAAATTTGAATTGTCTTTGTTCTATTTAATACTTCAAATTTTCTCGAATGATTTCAGCATTTAAAAAATCAATGTGATCGCATGGTTCTGTACTACATGAACCTATGGTTGGTGACTTTTCAAGATTTCCCCGATGGTCTATTAGAAGCTTTGAAGTGTCAATTTCTACAAACTTTCATATCTCGAGGCCTTTGTCCGAATTTAGTTGCATCACATTATAAGTAGGGTACTTTATAAGCAAAATTACGCTGTGAATGCTTAGAATTCGGTCTTCCTGACAAACAAGATTCATTTTTAGTGTGCAGATCAACAGAATGATTGCAAGATTGGTTAGTTTAGTTATTTATCGAAAGTATAATTTAGACGATAGGGAATAGACAGATTAAATCCTGCGTATGGAAGATTATTTACGGTACACTTCAGGGATTGTGTGGTAATTCCATTAAAGTCATCACAAAGAAAAAACCACTCAGCATTGCTGAGAATTCATAAACGACGAGTGATAAGTGATATAATAAAAAAAATCGATTCAAAAATATTATTTTACATGGACACAATTATTATTTGTTTAATTCCACATAGTAACGAAGGAGATAATAATTTTCAACTTGATATGAAAGTTTGAAGGTAAGAATATAGATTACAAGGGGCTTAGAGACAAGATTTCATAGGATCAGAAAACAGTTACAACGAAGGCAAAATTAATATTTGATAACTGGAGAAATAATTTTAAAGGCGAATAAAAGGTGATAATTATTTTCAACTTGATATGAATTACAAGAGGCGCAGGGATAGAACGAATTACAGGTGTAAACAAAATAAGCATGGAAACAAATTGAAATCAAAATTTTTTCAACTTGAAATGTAAGTTAGGAGGTGTCAACATAGATTACAAGAGGCACAGTTTCAAAAAATTACACAGGATTAGAATATAACTGTAAAATGGTTATTCTAAATGGATTACAAGTGTGATCAGGAGGAGGATGGAAACAAACTGAAAATAACTGATTTTATAACTGAAAATTTGAAATAATAATTTGAGCTTGAAATGTAAGTTAGGAGGTGTGAATATAGATTACAAAAGCCTTAGAATAAACAAAACTTGCACAGGATTAAGATATAATTGTAAAATAACTATTTTAAAGGAAATACAAACGTGAACAGGAAAAGCATGGAAACAAACTTACAATAACTGTTTTCAAAACTGAAAAAATTAGGTGAATCTAATGAAGACTGAGGGACTAAGGATCAGACACACAGTGAACGAAAAAATGCTCAAAAGGAAAAGAGAGAATGAAAAAAAGACTAAGAAGAGGAAAAAACCGAAGCAAAGGGAACATACCAAACTAGGTCCATGGTAGTTGTAGAGGTTGGACTAATCTCTTTTGAACACACAGATCCAGCTTCTCGATGCATATTGCGAGGGCTTCTGCAGTACAAAGAAGTCGGAAACATACTGATTTTGGTAGGTTTCTGCTGACTTTGTAAATCACTTTGAAAGAATCAGTTGAGATGTTGTGGGAAGTGTTGACCAGATGTTCGATAATGGCACTTCTGCCTCCCTTTGCTTCCAGTTTCTCTCTTTTCTTCCTCTTTTTTCATTCTCTCTTTTCCTTTTGAGCATTTTTTCGTTCGCTGTGTGTCTGATCCTTAGTCCCTCAGTCTTCATTAGATTCACCTAATTTTTTCAGTTTTGAAAACAGCTATTGTAAGTTTGTTTCCATGCTTTCCCTGTTCACATTTATAATTTCTTTAAAATAATTATTTTACAATTATATCTTAATCCTGTGCAATTTTTGTGTTTCTAAGGCTTTTGTGATTCATATCAAGTTGAAAACAATTATCACCTTCTATTTGACTTAAAATTATTTCTCCAGTTATCAAATATTAATTTTTTGTATACATTGTAACTATTTTCTAATCCTATGAAATCTTGTCTCTAAGCCCCTTGTAATCTATATTCGTACCTTCAAACTTTCATATCATTAATAATAATGATAATAACAGCTTTATTCCAAACAGTATTTGTGGTACAGCTATGGAATTTTCAGTGTGCATTACAATGTATTGCATCTAATTACCTCATAAATTTTATAAGATTTTAAAATCAAAAAGCAACAAAAAAAAGATAAAAAAAAATAAAAACAACAGCATTGCATTTACATTTTAAACAATGCACCACAGGATATGAAATATAAAATTGGTGTGTAATAGAAGATGAGAACAACAGTGTAATAGTAACGAGGAAAGGAAAACAAAAAACTAATGGGACTCTTTGTTAGAGTGCCGCAGTAAGTTGATCGTGTCATACCTAACGGATTTCTCATCACAAAAACATTAGATTCCCAAATCACACAATTGCCCATAAAGTAAATCATAAATGAAGAAAACACAAATATCAGCTCATAAAGGCATTAACAATCAAAAGTGCACTGACAGGTAAGAATTGGTCAAAGCTCACTCATACTAGCAAACTCTTCCAACGTGATATTTGCAGGCTGAGTTGCATACAGTCGATCGGCAGTCAAATCCTTCTGACAAATATGAACTTTGAAATTTCACCGATACTGTAGTGTTGTGAAATCACACAACTGTAGGTAAAAAAGTAGTTTAGATATATTATCGGTGATAATCGCAGTTTTTAGAAGGAATGTTAACCCACTCATTGTCACGTGAATTCGAAATAAAACATTGAGTGAGTCTCTGTGAGAAGTATACACAGTGGATAAATAGCCCTATTGATCTGTAATCAAATGACTTGATCACAAGTGCATGAATAGATGTTTTTTTTTGTTGTATTCTTTTCAAGGTTTATGTGATTGCATAGGAAGTAGCAAAACCATCTACCTTCCTAAATCTTGTTTCACCTGTACTTCATCACGCATAGAACAGCATGTTGGAACACAATTATCACATGTGTATGCACAGCAAGACTAATTCCATTTAGAAACTAAAATGAACAACATAATGTACTGAGATAACAGTTGAGACGAACACACAGATGTATTCTTACAGATCACTTACATAGTCTCAGTGACCTGACGAAATTGTGATGATCACATGTGTGAGTGGAGTTTCTTCGACAACTGTGTTCGATAGGCCTTCATATCGTGCAGAGTTGATAACGCAGGTTGGCAGTAACAAAAGTATCGACAATTTTTTGAAACCTGTCAGTCTTGCAGTGATCGTCTCATTTCTATGTGACTGAACTTAGGTTGCATAGAGGTGAATACATGTCAATCGGAATGAAGACCACGCAGTCAGTTAATTTCCATCTACTTGAATTGAAAGCAGACGTGATCAGAAGTAGAATGTAGACAGGTAATAAGAACTTTTTGTGATGATGTGAGACTCTGTAATGTGTTATTTCTCTTTTGTTGAATGTGTTTACTTCGTTATTTTTAAATTTATTGTATTTTTTCGGTTATCATTTCATGCGTCCTTTTGTTTTCATTGCTGTTTCTCTACATATTTTCCCTTCA